CCACGCAGGTGCGGCCGGCGCAGGACCTTAACGCAGCTGGCACGTTAGCAAGCGGTCCACCCACACATGTGCATTGTCTGACGCTGAGCCCAGCTACAGCCGGTGGTAGACTAGCACGCTAACTCTCATGATTCACCGAGCCAATGAAGTCATGTCATTCTTGTGACTACCATATAATTGATCCAACCTTGTACATACGCGTTCGCTTGCTATTAAGTATGCTGTACTAGGTTTCTCGAAGACTTCTACTTTCTGCATACTTCTTGTTGTGTTCTTCCTTGCAGCCTTGGCCACCGTTACAAAATCTATATGTGACGAGTATTGTTTCATTAGCTAGCAACACCTAAAACAAGACTAATATCTAATTTACTTGTCGTCTAGAGACATGCAGACAGAATTCGGTTCGAATTAGCTTGAGTCGCCCATGGCATTTTACATAACCTCTTGCAAAGGAGGACAGTCAGTGAGATGCCTAGTTTGAAAGGGATAATAAAGGCTTGCACGAGACGTGGTAAATTGAAAGTAGTGGGCTTACAACCACTTTGATCCACCTTCAGTCGTTATCTGAATTTTTGGTAGCAGGCATAAAGTAATGTACGCGTTTGGGGATATCACGACAAAGGCGTTAGATCAAACAAGACGTTTTGCTAAGGACTGTCATTGTGTGTTTCCATCCGGCATTCGATGCATTTGCGGGTACATGAAAGGTGCGCTCAACTTCAATCGAAAACCGCACGCCTTTGTTGTGTCTAGCTTTGATGTGTCATATTTAAGCGCCGGAGAAGATACTCTGCTGCTGAGACAAAACAATCTCCAACATATGCTAACCGCTAACAAAAAAACAGTCAAACCTCCTTCGAAGCTACAAGGTAAACACCCAAAATATTACTATCCTGACAAATACAGCTGAAATCGAAGCGAAAGCACAGAGATTCCCTCAGTTAAGCTGGGTGGAGGGGGAGTTCCCCACGCGACTTAATAACCGATCGATCGATTAGAGGGCGGTGCTGAACGTTCGGTGTTCTGGGCGGCTAAAGACTATTAACCAAACGTCTTGGCTGTTTAGAAATACACCCGTTGTGTGTCCAAATAAAGCATACGTGTGTCCGATGCAACTAGAATCTTTAAATCTTTGTTGCCCCATGTCTGTCCTCAGTTGAATATATAGCTAGACATTCATTTATGCAGCTCGTAGTTATAAAGATGATTTTTTGTGAGGAGAAGAATGCCAAATTCAGTACTCACCTTCCAAGAGCAATACCAACACCGATATAATTCATTACTGGTTTTGAGGGAATTTTGCAGGGAATACCGAACCATCCAAACCTAAAAATATAAGATAATATTGCTTTAGATTTATACTGAATGGTCTAAAGTCATATTTTGCAGGCCTAATGACCCCTTCCGCTTGAAAATTATTACGGTCAAAGGTATAAGGTACTGACAACACATGGTGTCAATGTGCTTGCTATAGTGCCCAAACTTTCTTTACCATACTTCATAGTATGGAATTGACTATGCATGATAAAAGGAAGAGAACGGACCTTCCTCTTAACTTCCAAAGGAGAAAGAAGAAGGCACGTCCATCACAGAAATGATCATTTATTCGTCAGAGCTTTCAAACTCTTACAAGAATCCATCCTAAGTGATAAAAGCGGCAAAGGAAATACAAGTAACAGTGATAGGGCCACTAGTATTTGGTTAGAACCGAAAAATGCTCCATAGTTTAAATTTAACAAAACCTTCTAGAAAACAGAAACAAAATAGAACGTAAAATTATGTATAGACGCTTTTACTGATGAGACCTACCGGCTGCTTGCAAATCCGAAAAGCATGTTCGCCATTGACCAGATAAGGATTCCCAAGCCCACGCCAATAGCTTCGATGATGGTTACAATCAAAGCATTTCCTGCCAACCAGAAATGAAGTATTCAGTAAGTAAATAATAAACCCTTCTATGCACTGGTTACTCAAATAGTAAATACTTAGGTGCTCAAACTATCCTGAGGACTAATTTCTCAGGAAAACGTTATCAAAGAAGTGGATTCTAAAAAATAGATTCAGTGAATTTATATGTCATATGTCGGCAGGTTTAACCCTTTAATGTGTTTGCACACAAATATTCTCGCTTGGTTTAATAATTTAGCTGAAGCTTTTTGACCACAAGTGACACATAGTTTATACACTTCTTCGTCTAAAAGAGAAGCCTAGATCGAATCTTAAAAAAGCGTTGCAGTCAATAACTAAGGAAATATTTTACTGTCAAGTTTTAGATACAGAGTCGAAATTGGGCAAAGTCGGCCGTTTCTTGATATCTTACTAATATCCTAGGCCATTGTAAGTTACAGATCAGACCATGGATGACAATCTAATTGGAAAGATTTTCACAGTTACCAACCGAGGTTGGCGCACGATAAATTCGGGTAATTCCATGAAAGAAAAGGTTGTTTTTTTGACAAATAATCAAAAATACACTATAGGTAATCTGACTAACAGAGTTTATCCTGTTCTACTTGTAAATTAAAAGTCAACAAAGTGCTAGGCTGTTGTATTTGCTATAATTTTGAATTTTGTTTCCTGTTTGTTATGCGCATCCTTCCTTCTGCATTTTTAAGGTTAGCCTTTGAAGTTATTTGAAATATAGCCCTTATACGAACAGCCAGTATTAGTTAATATAGTGAACTGTGGGTTCTTTTTGTATTAATTGTCGTTTCCCTGCTGCTATGAGATTGTAGAGACGCAGCCTGGACAGATTTTGAATTACTGGGATTTTTTGTGTCAGTAATGAGCTTAAATAAATTAGGAAATCTGCTTTGTAAACAAACAGCACCCATACCTGTCGCCCACAAAGCACCGCCGAACATTGCAAGAGGATAGAACTTGGGGCATCCAACAGCACAATTTACAATGACACCCACAAGTAGGATGGCGTTGCACATGATCCACTGGAAGAACATACCTAGCACAGAGAAACACATGTGAGTCAAACCAGCTAACGTTTCCGCAAATTATACAGAAAAAATTGGCAGAGAATCATTAACAACAGAAGAAGCGACCGTAAAGTCGGTTCCGAAAGCCGGTTTTTTATGCACAGAACAACCTACAAGCTCGATGCTTACCATGCTCAAAAGGTCGACTAAACGCTTGCCGTCCTCCGCATCCTTTGGCTCTCTTCCTCTTGACTATGCCCCTCCATAACATTTACGGCCTCTTAGTGACCCATTTCGATATTTTTACACACTCGTTTTGCTTTAAGACAATATTTTTCTCATCACTGATTTATTTAACTTGACCTCGTTTCTACATAAATATGCTGACTTGACGAAAATTATCAGGAGGGAGCGTATGTTCGTCAACTTGCCTTCTTACAGTGAAGGAATAAAACCTTAAGCACGAAATAGTGCAGCCTAGCCTTTGTTCTCTTTCAGAACTGTGAAATGTATATAAACTCCGTTAAATTGCAATCGATGTTAAAATAAATTACAATTCTTGCCCACACTCGGTAATAGCGTAAAAAGAAAAAAAACGTATGCGTCCGTAAAAGCGAGCTTTTAAATTATTTTCTAACCTTGTGTTACCGGAAAGTTGTGTAAACTATTAAATGCCTGTAGGAAATAATCCTCAATGCATTTCTTAGTGTAAAATTAGCTTACTTAGTTTAGTTTCAAAATAATTTTAAAATATATGTTACTTTTCCAGTCGTTTCTCTCTTTATATAAGGTCATTATGGGTACTGCCATGGTCCATTAGTAAGGGCTGGAGGCCAGGAATATACTGCTAACTTGTGTCAATTGACAATGAAACTCATTTAAATGGTTCTCTCTATTTCGGGATATTTTCAGGACGTTCAATGGATTTTTTACAACCTGTTGCCCTAACGCTGCTGACCGTTGGATTAAAATGTATTTTTGGAAACAATTCGCACTTCAGTATTTTTCGGAAAACTGACTCGAAAACGTTAAAATGTAGGAGTTTATTTTTAAAATCGAACCGAGTCTATTTTACTCAGAAAATTCCTTTTCAACAAACTACAAAATGTCAGGTATTTTTTCAAAATTGCATTTGCCGGTAATAAACTTGATTTAGGCATTGCGTACGACATAGGCCTTCGGCAGTTGCTTTTACTTATGTTCTGTACCAAACTTTCCCCACAATTTTTAATTTGCATTCCGTTTAAGGATAGCTTTGCCAAAATATCTTAAACAGTAGCACGAAACTATTAGCTCTTGCGTCCAAGAGGTCTCCTAGGGACGCCAAATCACTCTTGATGAAAATCCTTTTTCACTGAATTTTGAGTACGCACGTTTACTGATAGACCCTAACCGAAGTTAAACTTTAAAAAATATTTTACCAATCAGTAACATCAGATCACTATCTTATTAGCATTGCGTGGTTGATGCAGACAAAATGACGGATATCGATGAAGGCCTCCTTCCGTTCAACTTATTAATTTATTATCGTTTTCACATAAATAACTGAAACATACCATCACCCATCTTGAACTTTTTTACGGGTAGGTAATTGGTTCCGAAGCCAAGAGCGGCAATAACGATGGCTACCCAGCCAGCCGTAGGTGAGTTCATTCCCGTTGCCGCAGACTCTGTCGAATTCATGATAGCAGAGGAGTAGGAAAAACGTATGGGAGCTTTTCAAGAAATGTTTGTTAAGAGCTGAAGTGCCTGTGGCTACATATCGCTTATATATACTGCCGCAGGTGTCACCCTGCTAACGGCTTCGCCCAAGGTTTGTATAAACATTCAGGCATTTAAACGCATTTGCATTCGCTCTTGCACACACCTATACACGCACGTGGACAATAGAATTTAGAAAACAACCCCTACCGGATTGGTCGGAACTCGTTTTATTCACGTCCTGCATTCACTTACAAAACTGCACTGCCATTTACTCTTGTATGGAAGTAGAAACAAAATGGAGGCATAGCTGAAAAGAAATTATGAATAAAAAAAGCTACCGTTGGGTGCCTCAACTGAATAGTTTATCCGTTTTTACATATTTGAATTAAGGATCATATTTTACCTGATTGAAGAACAATGGCGGAAAAATACATTTAGATACACGGAATAGAACTAATAATCGGAGATTTTGGCAGCTGATTGAAAAACCGATTGAAGTAGCTGGCTCAGATCATGAAGTGTGAAGGTCAGCATTTGAGTACATATTTTGTACATTGAATTGGCCTGAGCTGTAAAATGCTGTTACCCAGAAAAGGCTTAAACTTAATTCAGTATATTGGGGAAATAGCCATAGAATTTGGCAAAACCAAACTAAACTCTTGAAATTAGTACAACGAAATGTGACGGAAGGAAATTGGCCTCAATTTGCAGAAGACTGCGCCCGACAAATTTAGTTCCATTTATATATCACTGATCATCATGTTCATATGTAAGCTTATGAAATACCTTGACGCTCTAAAGTCCCAACTTGCACAATAAAGGAAAAATATGATTCCATTAGTCCAGCATATCTCGAAGACTACAGAATATAGAAGAAAATAAAGCATTTCCTCTTCCTTATTACGAGATTTACTCTACTACTGTAGGACTTCGAGAAGCGCAGCTTGGCAGGTTCTGTGTTATAGGGGTTTCCTTGCATAAATACTTGGATTTCATCAGATAGGTAATCTAGGTTCGTTATATATTTGAATGCCTCAGAAAAACGGAATAAGACTTTTATGAATCCTATGTACGTATGGCTGAGCAGGACAGCTTTAAAAATTACATGTTCTTGAACGGCAGTTGCTTATGAACACAAGCATGAAGGCATCGTAAATGCTAAATATGCTTGAGAATCGGAAACCTTGACAAAATCACCAGACGTTTCCAATCGATATCAGAACTTACTGAAAAAGAAATAAAATGTTTTAAAAACTAAACACAATAAATATTAAATCTGGATACTGAACACAAGATGGCAGAGATTCTGAGGTACGGTAATGTTTCTGATTTACAAATGTTTACTATTGGTAAGAGTTTCATATCGCTAGACAGCGGTGCACGGCTTTCATTAGCAGGAATCAACTTATCGGCACGTATGCCTGTCAATTCAAAAGACAGATGACTGCGGAAAACTGATTACGGATGTTTTGATGTATTCTTTGCGGAAATGATAAACCTCGACAGCAAAGAGATGGTAAAATGGAAGGAAATAAGGCTACTGGAGGTCCTCCCAACAAACCAATCAAAGGAGAATAACGCTCTCATTTTCGACACAAGGTATTTGATAAGCTTCCCATCTTCCTTTCTTTCACATTTCTTTGTTGTTATTGTTGGATTTATACTAGGACTTTATAATCTTCAGTTTTCAGTCGATTTTCCGTAAACATTCAAGATGAGATAAACCGTAAAAGCATTTACTCAAACAGTAGAGTTCTAAAATTCGTTCTTATGCAGCCGTCTGCTTGTGTAATGGTTTCAGAATCACCCAAACATGTCACCTTATTGCCCGGATAAATGAACGTCGACAACAAAATTCACAGTTTAGTTTGCTTATGATATATTACAAAACTTTCTATACTTTCTTAAACATGCGCTCTAATTACATATTTATACGTGGAAGCTCTGCGTTCTTTGCATTTGTGGAAAGAAATGTCAAGATAAAAATGGAAAAGTTTGACCGGCTCTTATTTTCATGAAAATTACAGACAAACAACTTGCTGTTTCTTCCAACTTTCGTTTCATTGGATACTGAAACAGTTTTCGTTAGATCTGTTTATTTTTAGACCCTATACTTATATTTAAACAGCATAACTGACTGGCAGAATATGTACAACGAGATTGCGAAAACTGATACGTTTCTATCCATTCCGTTTCAATTTTTCACATTGGTTGATTTTCAACTGTAGATAAAAAAATTTTAGACATCTTTCGCGTACGGTGCGACAGAAAAAGTGGCGGCATTTGGCGAGTGTTTATATATATATGCTTGTTTGCGGTCCTTATTTGCGATGTGATAAGGGAAACTACAGCTACACATGTTAATTACTTAATTTACTGGCAAAAAACGTATAAATTTTCCAAAACCTTATTTGGCTGAATCCGTCTTTTTTTTATCGAAAAAACGCAATTTTTCATATTTGCATTTATTTGATTTTTATTAAGGTAACAAGAAATTTTCCGTTCTCAGAAAAGATATAGTTACACCTTTCTGGCCTATATTAATGCCCTATCACTTATCAACACTCATCAACATGACATTTGTATCCGCAGCGTTTGCTAGTATAGGAAATTCCGCGGGTATCTAGAAACGTTGGATGTGTCCCAACGTGGTCCACTTTTTCCGTCAATTCACTGACGTGACCTGCACGTTTTTCTACTGAAGAAATTTTTGCGCCTCAAGTAAAATCAATAAACAACCTCAGATATATGTTAAATCGTAAATATCCCTCTTCACCTTTGATGAGTTAAGCAATCTACTGTACCTAGCAGTTTGATTAAGCAGGCCCTTTTTCATGCATTATTAGCCATCGGGGTCTGATCGCCTCATCAGAACTCTGGGAAGGTAAAGTTGGTGAAAGTCTTTTTGTGAGACCCACGAGGCCAGACTCTCTTATTTCACGTAGCCTTGTATTAAATTTCAGCAAAGACAGCCAGGATGAGTGTTAGTGTTAGGGTTCAGGCAAGCGGTAAAGTTTGAAAACATTAACCGAACTCCTCCTGACATTTGACATGAAGGTACCTGTAGTGCTAGGGTGCACCAAAAGTCCCGTCTCCGACCGCCCGTTACATTTCGAATGACATTAAATATTGACGAATACCTATGTCATGAAATGGCAAACAGAAGGATGAAATGTTTTTTTTAACTTTGAACAAGTAGCGCAGGTAAGGATGTAGGTTTTAGTATACTGCAGTCACGTCAGGGTACCATCTTTTGAACGATCCTTTCTTGATCACTTGCAAAAAGTATATCCCGTAAAAATGATTACTTCATTATTTTACATTTTTCTATCAATTTTCACTGCACGTATGAATTCAACTTTTCTGAATACTGTGATTTGCAGTAGTTCAGTTTAACACTGGCATACAAGGATATCAACCATAGTTTTGGGATCGTTATGTCGATGCCAATTTCGTCGTTGTCAAAACATTTGACAGAGAACAACTCAAAAAGTTACTGAATTATGTTTCCCTAAACATCCGATTCACGATGGAAGACGAAAGAAATTATCCACTACCCTTCCCGATCTCTTTATGCGCGGGTGTTCACCTTGACTATTGCAAAGCACCATATTCATAAAGGCCACCAGCCCGATTCAGGAACTACATTTTAACAACAATCAACACAATTCTAACAAACGTAGCTGCGTTCGTACTCTTTTCGAAGAGTTGAAACACGCTGCAGCAAACCAACTGACAGAAGAGCTGAAAAACGATAAATTCACGAACTCTTCCGACCTAATGGTTACCCAAACTCATTTATCAAACAAAGCAAGCTCCGAGTGAACAGATGACGGCCAATACAACAGCAAAGCGAAGTCTAGAGGGCCATTCCATACATAAAATGAGTCTCCGAAGCAGTCTTTTGTCTGTTAAAACCCGCTGTATTAGGCAAACTCCACCGACCTTAAGCGATAATACGCCGTCGTTTGATCCAAATTGCAGAGAGACTGCCCCCTATTGAAGCGTCTCCAGCTGACCACAATATACTTTTCAGCCATGGGAGTGCAATTACGCCGGGGAAACAGGCCGAAAATTCCATACCCGCCTATACGAACACAAACTAGCGACTCGGATATTAGACCCAGTGTCGCAGCTTGCAGCACACATCGGAAAGACTGGTCACAACTTA